AGGGTCTGATTGAGGCTTTAGGGATGCCATGATGGAAAAACAAATCCCTGACTCATAAGGTTTATGTTCTAATGGAAAGAGATGGACAATGACCAAATAGATAACCGCATGGAATGCCATTGGCTATGATAATATAAAGAAGAGTAAAGTAGGGATGGGTAGGATACAGAAGAGCCATGGGGTGTTATTTTACTTAGAGGGAGCTGGGAAGATAACATTTGCATGGGGAGCAAGTTGTGTGTCTATCTGACAGAAGGAAAAGTAGAGCCTCCATGGTGAATACAAGCTAGGTAAGTGGGAAAAATAGGCTGGAGGCCAGGGTGGCTGGAGCAGAGGGAGGAAGAGGAGGCTCAGGTGGGTGAGGAGGAGGGAATGACTTAGAGTCCAGGAGCCATTGTGAAGATTTAGCTTTTTCTCAGAGCGATAGGGGAGCCATTGGAGGGCTTTGGGCAAAGCAGTGACAAGATGTGTCTTAGGCTTTAAGGGGATCATGCTGGCTGCTGGGATGAGAAGCGACTGTAGGCTGAGAGTTGGAGCAGGAGTCAGAGAGGCCAGAACTGTGGGTGCCCTCGGGAAGAGGGGAGTGTATTTTTAGTTGTACAAAGGACACTTGTGGAGACTTTAGTGGAAGCACGGAGTGGGAGCAGTGAGGGGGATTTAAATAAGGGAAGAAGCACATCTTGTGGATGCTGGGAAGCCTATGGAAACCCAAGAGAAGAGACAGATCTTGCTTATTTTGCTACCCAGCATGGAATTCCCTCCCTACTTGGGAGAGCCCTTCACTTTGTGGGGGTTGATGAAATGCAGAGCTGGGACTCCCTTTAAAGAAGCTCCTGGTACCTAGAGAATGGGCTGGGGACCTAGGCTCGGCCAACGGGATGCCCACACCTGAAGCCTTCAATTTTGATGGAGTGGTTCGTAGAAGACATCCCACCACCTGAGAAATTCTTCATGATGGCTGCAGTGAGGTGAGATTCTTGCTGGTGACAATGATACCAAAGGCAGTGTCTTAGGCACCGTCTTCCTGTTGGGGTCAAGGAGTCCCTGACTGGGCTTCCTCCCTCCCCTCCTGCCCTGTGCAGGCCTGGTTTTCCTGGCTTCCCAAGTCAGTTCTGATGCTTGCAACCAAGAACCTTGCACATGCAGTGGCAGAAGACTGTTTTTTGGCCAAGAATTTTGCAGAGTACTACTTTCTAAAGAAAGTCTGTTCTAATTTGAGCCACTCTGACTCTAGACGTGGGTGAGAAGTGGTCACAGAACCTATTCAGTATGATGTTGTATTTAGAGAGGAGGAGAGGGGGGTGAGAACAAAGACAGGAAGAAGCAAAGACGAGATGAAACCAGTTAAAATGCCTCATGAGATCAATTTGAATATCTCAGTGTAAAATCGACACTTTTTTGGCAACTTTTTTTGTTTAAAAATTATTTTCACAATTCTTTTGAAGAAAGAGGCTGATTACATTTTAAATCTGTTCTTAAGAGTCCTTAGTTGGATGTTCTGATAATGTAGGGATTGTTTCCTGTGGAATAGGGGAAGTTGAGCACACTCTGTGTGTTTTTGCATTTCTTAAGCTCTTCAAAATTCCAGAAGGCTAATTCTGTTATTAGTTAGAAACATTACTTCCAAATAATCAGCATGGATAAAAATGGTCAGGAGTTTCAGCTGTGAAAACTCAGTTTATTTTCCCTGTTCAGGGAAGAATGTGGAGAGAATGATCTCAAAAGCTTCTTGCAGCCCTAAAATTCTGATTCGACTTGAAACTATTACAAACTTATTAGGTTATTTTAAACATGCAGGAAAGTGAAGAAAATTCAGTTAATGGGCATGAATGTATTTATCGTGTCGCTTTCATAAATCTTAACACTTTTGCAATATTTGCTTCAGATTTTTTCTTTAAGTTACTTTTTTAATGACCATGCAATGAAATTCAATAAAATGGCGTTTTTTTCCTTCTGGTATACAGTCATATTAATTTTCTTCTTTAAAAAAATTTGTAGTAAAGTACAGATAGTATAGATAACAAATATTTGCCATTCTAACCATTTTGAAGTATGCAGGTAAAGGGCATTAAATGCATTTACGATGTTCTGCCACAATCACCACCATCCATCTCCAGAACTTTTTTCATCTTCCCAAATGGAAATTCCCTCCCCATTAAATAATGACGCCCATTCCCTCCTTCCCCCAGCCCCTGGAAGCCACCATTCTACTACCTTTGTGAAGTCCATCCCCGTGAACTTTAGTACATTGTAGATTGACGTTACTGTCACCACAGTCAGGATACATCTACCCGCAAGCCTCCCTTTATAACCACAGTGTCCCTTGGTCCCTGGCAGCCCTGATCTGATCTCTACCCATTCTTTTCTCCAATATAATAAATGGAATTATAAGGATGTGACTTCTTTCAAAATTTTTTAAAGATATTTACTTATTTTGAGAGAGAGAGAGACAAAGAGACAGAGACAGAGCGTGAGCAGGAAAGGGGCAGAGAGAGAGGCATACACAGAATCCCAAGCAGGCTCCAGGCTCTGAGCTGTCAGACGCAGGGCTCGAACCAATGGAGCTTGAGCCCATGACCACAAACCACGAGACCATGACCTGAGCTGGAGTCAGATGCTCAATCTACTGAGCCACACAGATGCCCCAAGGATGTGACCTCTCCACATTGGCTTCGTACATGCAGCATGATGCCTTTGAGGCTCATCCAAGTTTGTGTCTATTGCTCCCTGTATGCCCCTCTCCAAATCCTCCCCAAAGGTGACCACTTAGTGTTTAATTCTTATGAATATTTTTATAGTTTTAGTGTATACAGATTTAGCCACAAAATATATACTTTCTATTTTCCATAATTTTAAATTTAAAAAATGACATAGTAATGTACATGCCATACTGCAAGCTGTTTTTATAACTCACTGCTCTGTTGATGCCATGCTAATGCTGGGTTGTTACATTTCACTGTTACATTCTTTTCTATGAATATATCATGTAGATAATAGATTCATCCATTTACCCATGAATAGACATTTCTTTCCTGTGTGTCTGTCTGTCTCTTTACCCTACCCCGACCAGCTATCTTGGGCCTTCTGCCCAAGGCTGCCAGTCCAAAAGCAGGCCTCAGATGGTCAGAAATGCCCACTCTGAGGTCAAAATGGGGGTATCCCTGATCTTATCTCCAAGCTGGCTACTTGCTTGGCTGTGTACCTGGACAGAGGTTGTGTCTGATCCTTTGAGCCCTACCTAAGCCCAAAGTTTCAATGAGGTGTCAATCTTGGATGTGTATTAGAGTTTCCAAGAAAGCCTTTAAAAAAAAGGAGAGAGGGACACCTGGGTGGCTCAGTTGGTTGAGCATCCAACTTCAGCTCAGGTCATGCTCTCACGCTTCACGAGTTCAAGCCCCTCATCGGACTCTGTGCTGACAGCTCAGAGCCTGGAGCCCACTTCAGATTCTATATCTCCCCCTCTCTCTGCCCATCCCCTGCTCATGCTCTCTCTCTCTCTCCAAAATAAACATTAAAAATTTTTTTTAAAAAGGAAGAGAACAAAAGGATTTAAAAATTAAATCAGAATTTCCAGGACAACGGTGTGTGTGTGTGTGTGTGTGTGTGTGTACTTTTTTTTAAGTCCCCAGGTGATTTTAAAATGTAGCCAGAGTAACCAACCCGATTTAGGAAATGAGAACAAACAAACACCTCCAAGCTTTTTTTCTAGGCTTTTCTCACCAGCTGGGGAGCTGGCCTCCAATCACCATGTCCCGTAGTTGAGGTTACTCTATCCTCCTCCCATCTCTTTTCAGTTCCATGGGTCTTACAGGAGCCAAACTCAGCCACCTGTACCCGCTTCCAGAACCTGAACCCAGGGGCCCTGGCCTTAGCCTTCTTCCCTGATGAGCGGTTTCTCTTCTGTCTCTGGGGTACAGGGACATTTATCTAGTTTCTGAGACTTCCTATGGTTTATATATTTTCTTGACTTGTATTTCATCATTTCTATATGTTCTGTATGTTGAGATGTTGCCTCAGAGCACGAATTTCTAGAAATGGTTTCTATCTCAGACTCTTGAAAGCTCACATCACCTGCTGGAGGGCCGCTGTTGACTTCAAAGGAGCACAGGCTGGCACCGTATAAATAGCTTCCTTTTGTGTTTTACTGTCTTAAAGTGAAAAAGTATTGCTTTTTCTCATTTCAAAAGTAAATTGTACTTGTGGGGAAAAGTTCTGGTGCTGTGGAAATGTATGATTTTGAAAATAAGTCTCCAATAATCATTTCCCTGCAGATAGTTTTGAGTATAGTTTTCCGTATTTTTATGCATTTATACACATACTAATTTTTAAAAAATAAAAAAGAGCTGTTGAGTTTACACTTTGTGTGTCATGGAAAACTTTCTATAGTTAGATACCTACATTATTATTACTGGACACATTGCTCTGCAGTTCACTTAGAGGTGAGTATTTGTAATGTTTTCATTGTGGCCATCACAGACAATGCCGAAATCAATGTTCTCACATGTCCATCTCTGTGCATTTGTGGGAGGTCAAAATCTGCTTTATTTCCTTGGGACCCACATTTCCTACCACAAGTGCCTTCCTGGCAGGAAGGGAAACTGGCCTGGAGAGTGTGGAGCAAGTCAGTGGCTGGAAGGCAGTGGCCACATGGTGCTCTCTTGGGATGCTCAGTCCTATTAGAATCAACTTCTTGAGCCTCTAAACTCTCAATGCCATGCACACTAGAACAGATGCTCTTCACTTCACCTTCTCCTTAACCTGCCCTGGTACTAAACATCAGCCTCTGGAGGGTTAACTTGGAAGGTTAACTTGGAAAGGATTAGTGCTGTTTTTTTCAAACTGTAGGGCTATGACCTGTTAGTGGGTTATGAAACCACATTAAAAGATCACAAATGAGGAGTTAAAAAAATCAAACAGAACAGTATTGCAAGTATCCAAGCATGTCACATGAAGTGTAAATGTTGCAATTTTGTTTCAAGGGTGTGTGTGTGTGTGTGTGTGTTGGGTATTGTCTTAACTCGGATTCCTTGGAAGCAGAGCTCAAGAAAAGAATTTGGGTGCCTGTGATGTCTTTAGGGAGTGCTCCCAGAAAAATGAGGAAGAAGCTGGAGGAGGCAGAGGACGTGCTGAGCAAGGGTGTTCTCTGACACCAAATCCCGTGGTTTGAATTGTACCGGAGCTGGTGCTGCCTGAGACAAGCGGGTAGCGCCTCTTGAATCCTCATGTCAATGTTGGCTATGGGCTGCTCTGAGGAACAGAGGTACGTAACCTCTGGGAAGGCAGCTCGTGCTCAGCTCAGCTGAGGTTCTCACCTCCAGAGGAGGAGGCAGTGCTCCTGACAGCTGGGAAATGGGAGCACCAGCCTGCACAGGGTTGCCAACAGTGTCCATTTCAGGAAGTTTTATAAAAGGTATTTCTTAGTGTGCTTCAGGGGGGAAAAGGTTTGAAAAACACTGGTTTTAGAATAATTATGTCCATCAATCTGTGGGGAAAAAAATAAGACCTCTATCACCCTTTTCTGTATTTCATTAAACAAAGGCAAATTCTCACATGCAATATTCATTACAACTTTGCCATCAGAGAAAAAGGCACCACAGAAAGGAAACAAAACACAGAGGAGGATGTTCTTAATGTTTTAACCTCAAGCCTTAAGGCCCCAGCTGCCACCTAAGGAGGCTTAGAGCTGTGTTGTCTGGTTTGGGGGATACCAACCTGGGAATGGAGGGGTGGGTGAGCTATTAGCGAAACCATGAAATAAGCAAAGCACTCATTTCCCCCTGTTAAATGTTTTAAAACATTTTTATGACTATGGATATAGTATGGAGCAAAATATAAAATTCACATGAACTTTGAAGATAAAGAATAAAATTACCAAGAGATCTTAGATTATAGCTCACCCACTTTGGACTTTGCTTTCAGACTCCCAGGCATTCTTGTTCATCGGCCAATTAGACACTCAAGGAGAAAATTAATGATAGCAGCAGTTAGAGTCCTCTCCTCCTTTGAGGAGGGTGTAGTCAACACAGCCCCCAGATTCCCAGCAGTTTGTGAGGACTGATACCTGACAGTCTTGGTCACCAATCCTAAACTACCAGAATGGTTCAGTTAGTCAACAGATGGTTATTAAGCACCAACAAGACGCCAGCAACTGGGGATAAAATGAATGAACAAGACAGACTGTCCTGCCCTTATGGACCGTTCTGGTCAGAGGATTCAGACAAAATCAAATAAATAATGCAGGAGTCATTAGAGCTGCTCGTCAAACTTTTGTGGCTTTCTGCCTTTGGGGCACAAGTGCAGTGGTAGGGCCCCTCGTGAGTGGGTGGGGACATTGACCAGTTCTGGCCAGTGGGTGGTGACTAGAAGTGATGGTGTGTCCCTTCTAGGCAAAGCAGTTATTGTGATGCTCCCTGGAGCTGTCTGCCTTCTGACACAATGACCAGGGAAGGGTCCATATGGTGGCTGCCCCATCAGCCAGGCCTGAGCTGAGTCTCCCAGCTGTCCCCTAACATAATGTGGACTGAGAAAGCAAAACACCATTGCAAACTCCTGAGATTGGAGGGGCGGGGGTGGTGGTGGTGGTTATTACTGAATCATAATCTAGACTATTCTGATTCATGCAAAACAATAAGATAAAATATTATCAATTGTGATAACTGCTGTGAATAAAATGAACAAGTTGCTAATACAGCATAACAGAGAGTAGCCTGCAGGGTCAGGGAATGTTTCTGTGAAGATAGGGGAAATTTAATCTGGCATCTATTAGATCAAGGGAATGCAGATTCCCATAATTGTTTTTGCTTTATTGCAGAGAGAAGCAAATAGCCCTAGAATCATAGAGTCAGGAAAGTGGGAATGCAGACCTGCCTAGGGTCCCCTGGCTCACTGGTACTCTAACTTCAGCATGTGGACGTGGGTCCATACCCTCTCCAGGAGGGCTGCTGCTAAGGGAGGCAAGTGAGGTGCCTAGAGTGCAACCCTGGAGGAGATCACTCTCTGGGGCATCCTTTACATCCTGAGAATGCTGGCCTTGGAAAAGTTGTGACCTAAGGGGCCCACTCTTAAGGGGGCACTCCTCAGGGTCATGCAAGTGCAGAGTGGACACCTGAATGTGAGTGCCTCCTTAAGTGTTACACCCTAAACTCCTCCTCATTGAACCCTGGTCCTGGCTCTGCTCTACACCAGTGTTCTCAGTAAGGATTTAGCAAGCACTCAGCATTCAGGGAACTGGAGCTGTGTCCTTGGCATCCTGGGTGTGTCTGCTGATGTAATCTGAAATGCACTACACTCCTTGGGACCATGTGACAGCTCAGCACTTCAAGATGGGGAAGCGCAAGGTTTTCAGATGTCAAAAACTGACTTCTTCCCAGAGTTCTTGAAAGGGAAAACAAGCAAGGAGACGAGAGAGTGAGATTTCCAGTTTAGGAAGGGCTGCAAGCTGGATGGGGCTGTTTTTCCCCTCCATGCAGAAAAAGCCTCTCTTCCACACTGAAAAGGATAACTCCCAATGCAAAAAAAAGGAATTAAATGCAGTGCATTCTTCAGTGAGGTGCTAATGACTAATAGCACCTTCTTTTTCTGGAAGCAGGTTTGGGAATGGAGATAGGAGAGAGAAGCTAATAGCAGACAGCTCCTCACGAGCTTGGTTTGATTATCCCCACCTTACGGAGGAAGGACCCATCTCTTCAGAGTCGATGGTGCTTGCCCATTTGAACACAAGTCTAACTCTTATCCACTTGAAGACAAGGGGTAACAGAAGGGATAAAATGTGGTGGCCAAAAGTACTAAAGTAGAGGAGAGGACGTTTAACAGAAAAGAAACAAAGCCACCTACTTTACAAAGTTAGCTCTTAAACCAGGCCACTCGATTCTGTGTAAAATTTCACAAATCCACTACTTCCTGGATCATCATTCTTAGGCAATTTCTAAATGTCTAAATTGCAAATATTTTCTCTCAGTCTTCCGCTTATATTTTAATTTTCTTAATAGTATCTTTTGGAGAGCAAAAGTTTTTTCTTAATTTTGGAGAAGTCCAGTATATCAATTGTTTTCTTTTATGGATCATGCTTTTGGTATCATATGTGGGAAGTCTTTGCCTAATTCAAGGTCATAAAGATTTCCATCTGTTTTCTTCTTGGGGTTTTGTGATTTTTAGCACTTACACTTAGTTCTATGGTGCATTTTGGGTTAATTTTGCGCAGCCATATCTTTTGGACCCTTCTGTTGACAGATGAGGAGACCGAAGCAAAGGGGCTTATTTCAGCATCTGAAGCAAATGGATGACAGAGCTAAATAGACTGTTAGGGTCCCTTCCAGACAAAGTGTTTGCTCTGACGGAAGTTCATTCGAGTCTACATCTTCCAGCTTTGAGGCCACGTGATTGTTGCCTCTAGCCTCACTTGTTTTTTTAAAAAGGACTTCTTAATGTCTGAGCCAGGTATTTCTTATCAGCTCAGGCCCACTGTGTGTGTTCCTCAACTCAGTAGAAGCACAATTGTTTAGCGTCATTTATATACTTGGAGCCAGCCCTCATGCCATCCACATTTCTTCTAGCTAAATAGCTTTGGCTTCTCTTCCTCCCAGGGGCTGTTTCTGCCCCTCCCAGGCCTTGCACTGCTTCTCCACACTAATGTCCTGTACATGGCACTTGCCACTTGGTATTGAACCTTCCAGCTCTGAAAGCAAGGGCAGGCTGGGAACATGTAGTTGGGTGGATTTCCCAGAGGATGCTGGAGGGAAAACAGCTGCCAACTTCCATTCCAATTTGTCAAGCAAGACAGCTGGAATTGTTCAGCCTTTCAATTTCTGGAGATCTCTCAGGGAGGGGGAAGGCTGGGGCAGTAAGACCTGTGAGGAAAGGTTGGGCCAAGGGAACTCAAGATTCGTAATTGTCACTCACACACAGAGCTGACAGGTTATCCTCTTAGAGTCTGTGTCCAACTACAGTATCTGTTCTCTTCACCTGGTCCTGAAAGATCACATCAGTAAGTACGTGCCTCTTGATGAAGCAAGTTTTTAAACTGTCATAGTTTGACTGGTGAGCTGGGGGCAGTGTAGATATCCCTTTGCACAAGAATGGAAAAGGGGTATCCGGTGAAGATATACGGAGTGTTGTGCAGCAGATAGACACACCAGGCCAGGTGTGCAGAGCGTGGAAAGACCTTCAATATAGAGAGTTGAATACAGAAAAGAAGAGTAAGATCTAGAGCATAAATATTGTTCAAAAATACACGCACCCTTCAAAACAACAATCCATGTTTTACGAGTATACATGCTTGTATCAGGCCACGTATGACATACGTAAGAGCAGATGTCTAGTGTGGGGACATGCTGTTGTCTTATTTTTAACCACCGTTTCCCCCCTACTTCTAGATATACCTGGTGCCACCAATTCTGGGGCCTTTAGAGGGTTCTGCACAACATGGTGGGCTGCTTCTTGTCTTCACGGTAATGGCTCATCACTCAGCTTTCTCAGGGGAGCTAGGTCAGACACCACTGTGCATTTGCTTTCCAGCTTCAAAAAAGCTGTTGCTTTTTTTCTCCTCTTCTCTGTACTTAGTTCTTGGGAGTTCATGCCCACTTCTGTTCCCATCCTTTTAGTGCGGTGTAAGTAGGAAAGACAACTGTTTGTTTAAAATGTATCTGTATTCGTTTCTTATCGCTGCATGACAAATTACCACAAATTTAGTGGCTTAAAACAAATTTATTGTCATTCTGGGGAGTAGAAGTACAACCTGAGTCTCACTAGGCTGAGATGTTGGCCGGACTACATTACTTTCCGGGAGTTTTGGATGAAAGACAGTCTTGTCTTGCCTTTTCCAACTTCTTGAAGCTGCCTGCATTCCTTGAATTGTGGCCCCTGCCTTCACCTTCAAAGTCAGTAACGACAGGTCAAGCCTTTCCACGTGGCATCATGAACACCCCTCTTCTGTCTCCCTCTTCCACCCTTTAAGGGCTCTTGTGATTACATTGAGCCCACCTGGATAATCCAGAATAATTCTCCTAACTGAAAGTTAGCAGATTAGCAATTTCCTCTGCAGCTGTAACCCTCTCTCTCATGTAAGGTGACATATTCATAGGTACCACAGATTAGGGCATGGGCATTTGGTGGGACAGGGAGAATTTTTCTGCCTATGGCAGCGTCATTAACTGGAATTTAGAATTTCAAAATTGAATTTGCCACCATCTTCTACGAAGACTTAACATGACTCCTTAACAAAAAAAAAGGTATATGCATGTATGTAAATATATATTTATTTAGGGAACACCTGGGTGGCTCAGTCAACTGAGCATCCAACTCTTGATTTCAGCTCAGGTCATGATCCCAAAGTCATGGGATCAAGTCCTGCATCAAGCTCTGAGCTGAGCATGGGGCCTGCTGACGATTCTTTCTCTCTCCCTCTGCCCCTCTTCCCTGCTTGTGTACTCTCCCTCTCTAACATAAAATATAAAAATAAATTTAAGAAAAGATTTAACATGACTCCAGATTTCAAAGAAGCTTACTCTTCTCATGCAATCCCCAGGTCTTAAGGTTTTGTATGAGTTTCGAAAGATGTATAGAAAATAAGCAATATTGGCTCTGAAGTAATTTCATTCCAGCACCAAGGTAGTGGAAAAGCTTTTATCTGAAGAACTTAAAATTGTAGTGGGTTGAATAGGGTCTCCCCAAAAGATATGTCTGAATCCTAACCCCTGGTCCCTATGAATGTGAACTTGTTTGGACATGGGGTCTTGGCAGATATAATTAAGTTAAAGTTCTTAAGATGAGATCATCCTGGATTTAGGGAAATCTAGTGACTGCTGTCCTTGAAGAAAAAGAAGAAGGGAATTTGAAACACAGGGGGAAAGGCCATATAAAGATGGTGGCAGAGACTGGAGGACAGCCACAGCCAAGGAATGCTGGGATTGCCTGCAGCTGCCAGAAGATGGGAGACACGTGGAATATATTGCCTCTCGAAGCCTCCACAAGGAATCCACCCTGCTGCTACATTGATTTTAGACTTCTGGCCTTTACTGAGAGAATGAGTTTCTGGGTTTGTTTTTATTTTTTTAAGCCACCACCTTTGAGATACCACCTTTATGGTACATTGTGGTACCAGCCCTAGGAAACAAATACGGTAAGGCCTTTGCCAATTTTTTTCCTTTTGCTTAGAGAGCCTATCTGTTCACTGTTAGAACAGTCCCTGTGATGTTCAGAATGTTTATAGGCAAAATCAAGTGGAGGTGGAAATTACAGCACCTCCCCCTTATCCGCAGCAGAGTGGGGGGTACATTCCAAGAACACCAGTGGATGTCTGAAACCGTGGATAGTATCGAACCCCATATACACTATGTTTCCCCCTGTATGTACATACCTACAAAAAGCTTAACTTATAAATTAGGCACAGTAAGAAGCTAACAACAATAATAAAATAGAACAGTTATAACAATATACTGTAATAGAATTTACGTGAATGTGGTATCTTTCTCTCAAAATATCTTTTTATACTGTGTTCATCCTTCTTCTTGTGATGATATGAGATGATAAAAATGCCTACGTGATGACACGAAGTGAGGTAAATGACACAAGCATTGCGACATAGCATTAGGCTACTACTGACCTTCTGACAATATTTTAGAAGGAGACTCATCGGCTTCCAGGCAGAGGTAGACCAAGGGTAACGAAAACTGAGGAGATGAAATACAGATAAGGGGGCTGGCAGGGAGGCACTGTAATCCTTCGGTAATAAAACCTAACACTTACTAAGCCAAACTCTGTGTTAAATGTTTTACAGTCATTATTTTATGTAATCTTCCTATCATCTCTATGAGGGAGAGACTATAATAATCTCTTTTTCATAGGCTTAGAAAATGCAGCAGAGAGGGGCAAAGCTCCTCAGAAGACATTCTAACCTAGGTCTTTCAAAACCCTAAGCATTTATGCCTGAAGATCCTGATTAGCAGTTGAATCTTTCAAATCTTCTAAATAATTGCTCACAGTTCTCTGATTTCCACTGTCTGTGTGGAAAAAGCTAGAAAGTTCCAGGGTTCCTGCAGCCAACCCTAAAAGTTTAAAAAACGATTATGAGTTGAATAAATCTAGAATATTCCTTCATATTCATATCATACCCAAAGGCTTTCTCCTAAGAGAAGCTTCTAAAGAGTCAAGTCGTTTAAAAAATGTTAGAAGCTGCTGCATAGATCTTGCTGATACTCATCTGATTAAGAAAATATTATCTTTCTTCACAGTTAGGCTTTTATCGGAGATGGGGAAAGATAGCTGAACTGCCAGGTCAAAGACTCAAAGAATTCATTACCAAGACAAATAGGAAAAAAAAGAGGAACTTTGAAAGGCTCTTCGGGACTTACTGGAGATGGCGGGGCAATCGTTCTTGTTGGTATCGTCACACATCCTATTCTGTTCAGGAAATAAAGACAATTTTGTAAGCCTGATGCCTGATTTTCCTGGTAAACACCTTGATCGTCTCCACTTTATTGCAAGTTGGCTTAAGCAAATTCAAAGCCAGAGCCAGCAGGTGGCTATAACTTCAATGGCAGAGTCACTCTGCATTACTGGTTTGAGTAGAAGATAAGCTCACATTTCTTTTATCGTCTACTATTGAGAGTATGTCTGTTTTTGTTCCCAGGATCCCACAGTGTGGTGATAAGCCTCAGGGCTTACTCGTTCTATGATAGTAATCTTGGTTTCAATCTCTTTGTGGAAAGAAAACCAGAAATTCCCGTTCTTCCATCCTGTCCTCTGCTATGAGACACCGCTCTTGCCACAGCTCAGGGCAATACCTGCTCTAGAGCTGGCTTTGACTGCTGTGGTCACAGGAGGGTTGGGAGCTCAGAGCCGGGGGCTGGGCCACGCCCCTCCATTGTTGATGTCACTGCTATGGTGATGTCATGTGTAGAAGTGAGCAGTGGGGGGATGTGGGAAGTCCTGGGCTACGCCTCCTTGTTCAGGCCTGTCTTCAGAGGCTGATGGCCCTTCCCTCTCAGGACTGCTCCCTATAGCCTGGAAAGTCTTCCTCCTCCACTGCCAAGGACAGTGCCTGGGCTGGCCCCTTGGGCTGACATTGGCACTTTTCCCAGAGTGTCTATCGGTTGGGCAGAATAATCCAAGGTGTACGATGTGTGCTGACATCAGGGAAGTGGTAGAAGACAAAATTGATGGGCAGGTTACGGGCAGACCATGGTGGATCTGGAATGCTTGGCCAAGGGCCCCTGTGAGGGTTTTGAGCTGGAGTGAAAATCGCACCTGAATCCTGCCTGAAATTCCACCTCTACTTCCAGCCATTGTAGCCTGTGCCTCAAAGAAGGTGGTTTTCTGGTAGCATCCCCGGGTACCCAAGGCAGGAAGGCAGTGAGAGGTGAGTTGACATGCCCACACCCCCTGACCCATCCTGGAAAGCCTTCTTCAGAGTCCATTCTGTTCAGTCACTTGTCCCCTCTGTTTCTGTCTCTCTGAGGGAGCCGGGGAGCTGGGACTTCTCTACACGGTGATTATGTCTGAGACTCTTACTGAGTCTGCGGCTGGCTGCCTCTTCACCCCTCCCTTCTGTCCTTCCTGGGCTGCTTACCATCCCTGGCTCTGGAGCCATTCAAGGAGTTTGGAAGGAGTGCTATGTTAAGAACTTCCTTTCCTTTCAAGTTTCATGAGGACAGCATGTGGAGCAAAATGAGAAGCAGACTGGAGGTCAGAACTTGGGCTTTAGGGCTGGGCTCTGCCACCCAAGGCTCAGTTTTTCTCATCGATGAAATAAAGGGGAGAATCAAGATAACTCCCAGAGGTACATGCAACTCTAACATTCAATGATTCTGGGTTTTGTAACTGTACTTATTCATTTTTGTATTATTTTCTGAAAACTTGACATCCTTTCCTCTCTATACACTGATGGATACAGAATGGCGTTTTAATCACCTTGGCATTGACATATTTTAGAGCGTATTTTATCCCAGTGAATCTTCAGAGTGATATAGAGAAGCACAAACTTGATGTAGGTTATACTTTTTAATGTGGCTCTCCCCTCCTTCTCTCTTCATTTGTCTCTATCATTCATGAGTGTCTGTTTACACCTGGCTTGGGCATATTTGCTTGCTTGAAGCTCAGAAAATTCAGAGAAACAGCATTTCAGATCTTGCTGGACATTTCTGGGAATAGGCTGCCACTCTGTTGGCTGCCTCAGAGGAGGCAGCAGGGACAGGAATCCCAGCCCAGGTCTGGACAACCTCTTTTCTCATTTCTTGAGTCCAACATCTCTTAGGAGCTGGCTCTACTACAAACTTGCTGTGCCTCAGTTTCCTCACATGTAAAATGGAGATCATAACAGTATCTCTCTCATAGGGTTGTTAGAGATGTCCTATTGCACAATCTTCTGAAGCACTTGTCCAAAATTCAGATTCCTGGGCCCCAGCTCAAACCTCCAAATCGGCACCTCTGGTCTTGGGGCCTAGAATATGTATTTTTAGCAGCTCTCCTAAGCAACTTCTGCACGTGACCATCTGAGAAACTATGCCTTACATATCTGATGCTTCTCCCCCCCCCCCCCCCCCCCCCCCCCCCTATGACCTGCATCCGCTTACTTAAACATCACCATGACTGAGAGGCACACCAGTGGCTTCCTTTCCTTTCTCTACACAGGAAGCTGCTGTCCAAGGTCACACAGTGTCCCCAGACCCCATCACCCAACATCTCCTTCCATTTTCTCTCCTGTTGCTGAGTTGTCTTGCAGGGAAGGATGCTAGCATGCAGCCCATCACAGAATTTGGTTTGACTTCTTTTCATTTCTTTGTGTTTGGTGGGTGAGTTTCCTCGCTCCTGTTTGGCAGATAGCCATCATCTTCCTTTATAAATGCTTTTATCTGTGGCCGCTTTTATCTTATCAGACTCACAGTATGTCCTCGTCTTTCTGCTCCTAAAGATAATTCCCGCTTTGCGATATGTCATAAGTGTCATCCCAGTCATGGCTCAAAATAACAAATAAGGTTGTTTCCAGTGAGGAAAGAAGGCTGGCAGCAGCCTGCTTGGAGTGAAGATTCTGAGCTTTCACCTCTGTGCTCCCACCATGCCCTTTAAAGGACCCTTTGAGAGATGTAGGGAACTTGTGTCCCCTGACGTGTTAGGGGGGGATGCTTTTGAGTGCCTCAGTGAACTGAATCAATGAGATGAGGTGAGAGAAAGTAGGGTGCTTGTTCTGAGCAGGTTGGAGCAGTGTGTTGGGGACACAGATGCCCACACTTACTGAGAGGTACGAGATGTGCCATGATCAGGGTGAGTTCTTAATTTTTAATTTTATTTGAGAGAGAAAGCATGTGAGCAGGGGAGAGGGGCACCGAGAGAGGGAGAGAGTCCCAAACAGGCTCCAGGCTCAGCGCAGAGCCTCACGAGGGGCTCGATCCCATGCCCCTGGGCTCATGACCTGAACCAAAATCAAGAGTGGGAAGCTTACCTGACTCAGCCACTGAGGCACCCCTCAAGATCTTTTTAAAGTGGTGGAATTCTACCCCGCCTTCAAATGAAAACCTATTTGGAGCTCCTATATAAAAAGTTGTGAAAATTCTGTTTAAAGAGGGGACAGCCCTCCATATCCCACACTTTCAGGCTTCCCTGCGCCCCCTCATGTCCTGAGACTTCACGAGAGGAACCCACCTCTCCGCAAGCACAGGATGACGCCCACAGGGCCTGGGCCCTGCCTCCACATTTGCAACTGGCATGCATAATACCCAGCCTCTGGGTGTGAGTAACTGAAACTTCTTTTTTCTTTCCTGCCTTAAAGTAAAATGAAATGGAAATACTCTTCCATTCCTAGGTAAAAACCTGCAGGCCTGTAATTTCCAGCTCACTCTCAATTACATGGTCACTGTGAGTCACAAAACACTATCTCAGTGCAATTATGTCCAATCTAAGATATTAACCAAAACTCTGAACTTAATCTTATTTATTTATTTTTATAGGTTTATTTATTTTGAGAGAGGGAGAGCAGGGAGGGGCAGAGAGAGAGATTCCCAGGCAGGCTCTGTGCTGTCAGTGCCCAGCACGGAGCTCGAACCCATGAACCGTGAGATCACAACCTGAGCTGAAATCAAGAGTTGAAGACTGAGTGCCAGGTGCCCCTAAACTTAATTTTGTGACCAATCTTTGCCCTTTCCCTGTACCCCTCCCATTTCAGCTTGCTAGGCAATATGTGACCCCTCCAGGGTCAGAAAGGAAGGAGGAAGGAATGGCAAAGAGGTGCTGACCAGAGCCAGACCCTTGCCTCATGCTCTCTGGGTTAGTAGATATCGAACTTTACTTTTCCAGTGAGGTGGTTCCAGGGTGGCTTCAAGTTCCTTATCACGAGGTCTCCTGCAGATCTCTTGGTCTCGTACGTGCATCTCCATTCCCCGGGCTGACGGTGATGCTTCTTCCACAGGTATCCTGAGTCCTGCTTCTTGCTGTGGAGTCTGCTCCACTCCACCCCCCCTCACTAGTCTGTTGGTCAGGACTCAGGACAATCCCAATGCCCACCCTACCCATCTCCAAAGCTGACCAGTGAGAGGAACCCAGGGCAGCCATCTTGGGTCTCTGCTTGGTTCTCTCCTTCTGAGGCATGAGTTAGGTGGCAGCCATTGTATCTAGCCACAGGGAGCATATACCAGAGCTCTCTGAGCGGCCCCATGCTGGCCCATCATGAGACTTGAGGTACAGGTGGAGGTGGGGATACACATGGCACAGTTGGATCTCTCAAGGAAATTTTTAAATTTTCTTTTAAGTAGGCTCCACACCCAGTGTGGGGCTTGAACTCACAACTCTGAGATCAAGAGTCACATGCTCTAGTGACTGATGCCCCCCTCATGGAAATTTCTTGACAATCCTCTTTTCTTCACACTCCTTAACCTTTATCTGGCTCAGGGGTCCAGGAGTACAACAGTCTGGGTCCAATCCAGGAGGCAGAATCCTTTCAAGCAGTATGAATAAGGAGTATATTCCAGCGAGGAGACCATACAACCATGGGAGGCACTGGAGAAGTAAGGGTGAGAAAAGAAGAGGAAGGTCGGAGAAAGGTCACACAGCAGCGTGGGCAGAGGCGAATGCTCAGAGCTCTCAGGGACAGCTGGTCTTCCAGTTGCCGGAGTAGAACTGAGAAGAGGCAGGCACAAGGCTGTGCAAGGTTGTCCTCATCATGGCTGCTCCCTTGGGGTTCACGGCAAAGTGTCTGCAGTGGCCTGGGGTCACTGCTGGTTGGAGGGTCAGCAGCCGGGATGGAGCATGGGATGCACTGTGGGTCGGGGGGAGGTAAGTGAAAGCAAATGGGCACCTTTGCATTTCTCTCACCTCCTTCAATCCACAGCAACCGCTAGAGGGGAAGGGCCACTACCTCACTTTCGCCTCCTAAATCCCACACAAATTATACTTGATAGACTCAAATCTGGAACATTCTTTAAAGGTGTTTCTGGGAAAGGTAGTACCCAGTAGAAAAGTTCCATACTGGAATGATCTGGCGCAAGGAGTGATAATGCTGGCGCTCTCTTCTTCTTTTTTAAATTTATACTTTGCTTTTGACTCGCATCTGGTATAATTTAGTGACTAGTAGAAACTTCCAATTTTAACATCCTATTACCCATTCTATGATTCCTCCCTTCCGTTCGGCACATTCAAGTGCGTCCCTCAAAGAAGCAAAAAGCACAACCCATCGATAGTGCGCCATTTGCAACTTGCTCTTGAGGGAACCGGCAGACAGCTGTTCTTGGCCTCGGGCTACTTTTGAAAATGCAGTCAGTGGTGGGAAAAGGTCATGTGGGAAAGGAGCATGTTTGTGACACACGCAAGCTGGTGACTGGGATTGTAGTCATCGGTTTCAGA